ATATATTAGCCCTATCTGTGATAAGGCTGCAACGTACCACATTAGTATAATATCAATAAACTCTCCAGAATAAAAATATGCATACCTGCCCGTGAAGTGTTTCTCATGCGGGAGGCGTCTTTCAGCAACGCAATGAAATTAGGCCTTTTACTATTCTCAGCTCTTCTCTCCTCTTTCTTCTGTGCTTTCTTGTCTTCTGTATTAAACTGATTCAGCGCACTGGTAGCAATTGCAAAACCCCTTTTTCTCGCCAAATATAGAATGTTACCTCCAGAATTATGAGATATGTGAGTACTTTGCTGTATACTGTAGCTATATATACATGATCCGGCCATTGCTGGAGTTAAAGTGCTCATGCACATATCAGCCTGCAGAGAGAATCGGCTTAAACGCTGCATGTTGGCGTGTATTGGATACTATCAATCACAAATTACGCGGCTTAGATTAGTTAACACCTTAGCTAAGCTCAATGAACGTTTATGAACATAGACAATTTGAAGAATAAGATCAGAAATGTATGGGCACTCTAAACTGCAAACACGCGCATTTGTAAATTTATGAAGTTACAAACACACATATGTCGCGAGGTCGAATTGAAGCCTAAACCCTAAACCCTACTTGAGTTATTGGTACATAGGATTCATGAGGATGTACATAGCCTACTAAATTCAACAGATGTAACTTATTTTATTTTTTGTTTTGTTTTGTGTAATATGCACCCCTTGGATGCACAATGGATGCCCATTGTGCAACAACTCAACACAGCGAAGAACTGCATCACACAACACCACGTTAAACACGCAGACTAACAAAGGCCTCACGTGTTTATATACATAAAATATATACAAGTCTTTATTTACGCAAGTCTTTCAAAGTTTGTTGGCTGCAATCGGCACCATGTCTGTACGTCCAGGGGCTAAGCTCGTGACCGATTTCATCGCAGCGAACCGTGTTGCCGTATTCAGTACTACCACATGCCCGTATGTTATATATGCATTTCTCTACAAAGTTATGTATATGTAACTTTATCCATTGCCTTTAATTTTGACTGAGGTTTGGCCCGTTCGCTAAACAAATCATGCCTTGTATTGCAAATATGTGACGAATATTTAGTTCAAGGTATCGCTGTATATACGACTGCCACTTGTATATATCCTATGTATGTGAATGTATATATATATATATATGTGTGTGTGTGTGTGCGTGTGTGCGTGTGTGTATGTATGTGTGTGTGTGCGTGTGTGTGCGTCTGCGTGTATATTTATATATATTTATATATATATATAGTGTGTGGCAACGATTTTATCCACGTCAATCTATTCTTACAGTATAACAATTGAACTAGAAAGCCTCTATTATATATATATAATAGAGGCTATCTAGTTCAATTATTATACTGTAAGAATCGAATGACGTGAATAAAACCGTTGCCACAACACAGAACAACCAATACGACAATTACTATACTCACTAGTACTTCCTCTATTATATATATATATATATATATATATATATTGTGTGTGTGTGTGTGTGTGTGTG